TCACCCAGGGCTCGGGAGTGCCAGTGGCCGGCATCTCAGCTCACTGCCAAGCTCGCCTCCCGGTTCACGCCATTCTCCTGCCTCAGCCTCCCGAGTAGCTGGACTACAGGCGCCTGCCACCTTCGGCCCGGCTAAGTTTTTTTTGTATTTTAGTAGAGACGGGTTTCACTGTGTTGCCAGGATGGGTCTCGATCTCCTGACCTCGCTGATCCGCCCGTCTCTCGGCCTCCAAAGTGCTGGGATTACAGGCTTGAGCCACCGCGGCCCGGCCCCACATGGCCTTTTCTGAAACAATTTTTTGTTTGTTTGTTTTGAGACGGAGATTCTTGCTCTCTCTCCCCAGGCTGGGTGCAGTGGCAAGATCTCGGCTCACTGCAGGTTCACCCCATTCTCCTGTCTCAGCCTCCTGAATAGTTGCGGACTACAGGCACCCGCCAACCACGCCCGGCTAATTTTTTGTTATTTTTAGTGGAGACGGCGTTTTACCATGTTAGCCAGGGGATGGTCTCGATCTCCTGACCTTTGTTGATCCGCCCACCTCAGCCTCCAAAGTGCTGGGATTACAGGCGTGAGCCACCGCGCCCAGCCTGGAAGAATTATTAAAGATATACCTCAGCAAAAAAAAAAAACCTCAGGGAACGGCAATACATAAGAAATTACTTAGGCCCGGGCGCGGTGGCTCAAGCCTGTAATCCCAGCACTTTGGGGAGGGCGAGACGGGGCGGATCACGAGTCAGGAATCGAGACCATCCTGGCTAACACGGGTGAAACCCCGTCTCTACTAAAAATACAAAAAACTAGCCGGCGCGACGGTGTCGGCGGGCGCCTGTAGTCCCAGCTACTCGGGAGGCTGAGGGCAGGAGAATGGCGCAAACCCGGGAGGCGGAGGTTGCAGTGAGCTGAGATCCGGGCCACTGCACTCCAGCCCGGGCTACAGAGCAAGACTCGTCTCAAAAAAAAAAAAAAAAGAAATTACTTTAACCACAGAAGTTAAAATACACAAATAAATTTGATGAATAGATGACTGAAAATGTTTTTTCATGTGTGTTTTTAACAGTAAAGCTAAAACTCCATGGAACAATAACAAGATGGAGAGACTGGTGCTCACTGGGTGGTAAGGCATGTGAAGATCCTAGTCATACACAGAGAGAGGAAACAAAACTGAATTCACTCAGGCTTCGTTAGGATTATATATACTTAAGAATGTGTGTTGGCTGGGTGTGGTGGCTTGTGCCTGTAATCCCAGTGCTTTGAGAGGTCAGCACATTGCTTGAGGCCAGGAGTTTGAGACTAGCCTGGGTAACGTAACATAGAGAGACTCCCCCACTTAAAAAAAATTAAAAAAAAAAAAAGGCCAGGCCTGGGGGCACATGCCTATAGTTCTGGCTACTCAGGAGGCTGAGATGGGAGGATTGCTTGAGCCCAGGAATTCTAGGGTGCACTGAGCTATAATTGTGGCACTGCATTCTAGCACGGGATACAGACCCAGTCTCTAAAAAAAAGAAAAAGAAAAAAGAATGTATGCTAAACATATGAGTAACCCGTCATATAATAGAAATATATGCCATCAGTTCCAAATAAGCAAAAGAAGAAAAAAAAAAACAAAAAACCAGAACACTTTTACCCATCCACCAGAAGTCAGGAGAGGAGGAATAAAAAGGATCAAGAATAAAAGGAAAAAGTAAGTATCCATTAAGAAGAGATCACAAGTACGAATTCATATGCAACTAAAAAGTTCAAAATACATAGAGCAAAACCTGAGACCTACATGAAAAAACTGGTAATTCTATGGTTTCGTAATTTTACTGTTCAGATTTGCTCCAAAATTAGGAGACTATGACGTTTTTCAAGTTTATTGAAACACATGCAAAACTTCGTGGTAACCAGATCACAAAAGGAAGTGTCCACAAATGCCGGTGAACTACATCCTATCTGCTCTGCGGGTTCTACGACCAACCAGCAATTCACCTAGAACCCACGACTTGCCCTTCAGCCCCGCAAAGCTCTGTCCTTTCCCGCGGGGAACCTCCCCCCAGCCCCCGCCCAGGGCGCCCGCAACTCCCTCCCTCCGCCCCCCGGCGTCGCCCCGCGGCGCCCGCCCCTCCTGGCTCCCACCGCCGCACCCCTACCCCGCCCGGGCCCCTCCGCCTCGTCCTCGTGCGCCCGCGGCCCCCCGCCCGGCGAGGGCTCACCTGCACGTGCGGTTGTGCGCCGCGGAGAACGAGGGCGGGGCGCGCGCCAGCGTGAAGTTGACGAAGCCGCGCAGGTCGTGGGCGCGGGTCCACTGGTAGTAGGCGCGCGGCAGGAAGTCGGACGAGAAGGCCAGGAGGAAGGCCTGGGCGGCGGAGGGGTCAGTGCGGGGCAGCCTCCGCTCCGTCCCCGCTGACCTCGCCCCCACGCGCCCCGGCTTCATCGCCGCGCGCCCCCGCTGACCCCGCCCCCGCCCGCGCCTCACGTTGCTGGTGACCGCCAGGTGCGTGATGCCCGCCAGGATGTGGAACCAGATGCCGATGTCCTGGGCGCGCTCGGCCACCGGGCGCCGGTACTCGCAGACGAACTTGCGCGCGTCCAGGCGGATCTCCACCCAGTTGTTGAGCAGAGCGAAGAGCGGCGCGAGCGGACAGGCGGCCACGAAGATGGTGACGAAGCCGAACTGCAGCACTGCGGGGCGGGGGGCACGGCCGGGCTCTCCCACCGTCCGCCCTCAGCCCTCGGGACGCGCCCCCCGCGGAGGACCGGCCAGTCCACGTGGTGCCGCCGCCCCATCGCGGCTCATCCCCCTCCTGCTGGTCTCCTTCGTCCTGGACCGCGCAGCGCCAGGGCCATCGCCCCTGACCGGCCCCAGGCCGGCCGTCCTGCCCTGAGCTCCGTGTTTCCGGCTGGTCACGGGCCTTCCCCGGCTGGGTGAGTTCATGGACTAACTCGGGGGTGGGGGGAGGTGGGAGGAGAAACCTGCTTCTGATTTTACAACCGGCTTCTCCACTCGCCCCTCAGGGGAGCTGTTAGGAGATGGCTCTTTGGAAGGGGTTCGTGGGTCTTCGTCCAGAATTACTAGTGAGATCACTGGGGTCCAGGGTCCAGTGGTGGAGGGTCAGGGCGTCCACTCCTCGCCCTGGGAACTGCCTGCTCCCTTTCCACAGAAGCCGCCGCTGCGCTGGGGAGCTCCAGGCCGTGCTGGCTCACATGCCCTCTTCATAGGTTAAGAGCTGCCTGCCAGGCACAGTGCCTCAGGCTTGTAATCCCCAGCACTTTGGGAGGCTGAGGCGGGTGGATCACCTGAGGTCAGGAGTTCGAGACCAGCCTGGCCAATACGGTGAAACCCCATCTGTACTAAAAATACAAAATTAGCGGGACGTGGTGGTGGGCACCTGTAATCCCAGCTACTCGGGAGGCTGAGGCAGGAGAATTGCTTGAACCTGAGAGGTAGAGGTCGGAGTGAGCCGAGATGGTGCCACTGCACTCCAGCCTGGGCGACAGAGGGAGACTGCCTCTCAAAAAACAAAACAAAAACAGGCCCTGCACGGTGGCTCATGCCTGTAATCGCAGCACTTCGGGAAGCCGAGGCGGGCGGATCATGAGGTCAGGAGATCAGGACTATCCTGGCTAATACGGTGAAACCCCGTCTCTACTGAAAATACAAAAAATTAGCCGGGTGTGGTGGCGGGCGCCTGTAGTCCCAGCTACTCGGGAGGCTGAGGCAGGAGAATGGCGTGAACCCGGGAGGCGAAGCTTGCAGTGAGCCGAGATTGCACCATTGCACTCCGGCCTGGGTGACAGAGCAAGACTCCGTCTTAAAAAAACAAAAAACAAAAACAAAACAAAACAAAAATATTGCCTGATGATTCCTTCTCCCTTTGTCAACTCAGAGTCAGACCCTGCGCTGCAGGGACAGCACAGGTGGTGCAGACCTGGCCTCTAGAGTGCACCACCTGTGCAGGCAATGAGCCACTGGTACTGTCCACCACCTGTCAAGGTGACAGTTGTGGGTCCACAAATAGCGTGGGCATTGAGGAGATTTCTGGGGACATCGGCTCTCCAGGCCGCTGCCTGGCAGTGTGGCTTCACCCTTGGAGGGCTTCTGTCAGCCCCCAGGGCCTGCTCTCCTAATTCTTTCCTTGCTCTGGCCCATGCTTTCTAGGTCCAGGGACCCTAGGGGAGCTCCGCAACAACCCTGGGGGCCTCCTCCCTGTGCCGGTGCCCCTGTGTCCTCAGCCAACCCTCCTGGGCACTCTCAGGGGAAAAGAATTCCTTTCTGGATTCTCCACAGGCCCCACCCTCTGTCCCCACCCCACCACCACAGCACATTTCAGGGCAGATGTAGACAGACGAATGTCAGGCTGGGAGGTCCCTGAGCAGAGTGGCTGCCCATCCCTGCCCACGGCGCCAGCTACTGCCGCAGCTGCTGACGGGCTCCTACCCATTTCCAGGTACTCGTCGAACAGACCCTCACAGGGCACAAGCTCATAGTCTTCCTCCCAGCGCTCCTGGCTAGCCCCTGGAGAAGCTCCAGCCTTCCTCTTCTTGGAGCAAAGCCGGAACTTCTGCCACCAGCCCTTTAGCTTCCTGGGGATGGGAATACAGGAAAATGGCCTTTGATCCATGGTAGGTCTCAGTGACTGCTATAGTCCTGGGGAAGATGTGGCCAGGACGAGCCTGTTGCTTTGCAATTCAAGGCAGCAGGGAGGGGTGGGGTCTGGGGCCCGAGGGGTGGACACAGTGAGAGCCAACACCTTTGCAGATCGTACTCAGTGAAAGCGTCTGTGTCTGTCGGTCAGATGCAGAGGGGCGGTCCACCCTCCCAGCCCCCTGCATTGTTCCTTAAGGCTTTAGGGGTAATGGGCTCCTCCCAGAATTGCAAAGCAGTGCCCAAGAGCTCTGCCAAGGTTGGGAGGGAGTGGATGAGGACCACTGTTGTGTCCCAGGGAAAGCAGATGTCATGGAGGCCCACGGGTTGGGTTCATCCTACAGGGGGCATGTGTGTATGTTGCCTTATCACACTGTCACTTGTCCCCGCCCTGCTCCTGCCAGGCACGGAGCTCCACCCTGCACCTTATGGTCTTGTGGTTTCACAGCACCAATAGTCAGAGGCAGGGCCGCCTCTCGGGATGTGGCGTGGCCACCATCTCCCAGCTGCTATTTGTGGTGGCCCAGAAAAGGCAGTGCTGATTTGGGTGCTGTCTTCTGTGGGGAGATCAGGTGTTGAGGGGGCTCTGGGAGGACGCTCAGATCAGTCTGGCCTTGAGCAGGAGGAAAGGCCCTGGACAGCCTCTGTGAAGGGCTCTGGCTTGAGAGGGGGACCCCGTTGCCTTGATGGGGGCCACAGTGCCTGCCAGTAGAGGTGGCACTGAGGAGATGGGAGCCTTGTGGTCAGGATGTGCCTGGCAAGGGCATCTGAGGCAGACATGTGTCTGAGGATCAACCCTGGGGCCTGGGGCCTCCTTTTCCTCCTCCCTCTTGTGCTACACTGGGGGCTGGGGATGCCAAGGAACACCATGGCCCAGCCGCAGCATCTCTGAATGGACAGAGCCATCACCCCAGCCTGGGCCCAGGAACCCAGACCCCCTCCCCAGCCAAAGCTGGTCCCAGGGGTAGCGCCTTCCACAACCATAACCCAGAAGACCTCAGCCAGCCACATGGCAGCTGCAAGGCTGGCAGCCCAGAGCCCGGGGCAGATGGCCGGGCACACTCCGCATCCCCCTCCCCAGGCAAGGTGCTAATGTCCAGGAAGGGACGGACCCTGCCTTCCCTTCACCTCTTCTCCCAGCTAGGGCTGGGCTGGAGGCTGCTACCACCAGGTGCTCTGGGGTCCCTTGGTCCTTGGATGCCACCCAGGGTGGAGTGGGGGACTCACGGGATGAGGACCTCCTGCATGTTGTTGATGACCTGCTTGCCCACCATGATGACCAGGAGCTCCTGTGCCAGCTCGATGAGGCAGCCTCCGGCCGCGCACTACGGCAGCAGGGCTCAGGTTAGCTGGGAGAGGGACCAGCCACTCGCCCACTCATTCCTTCTTGTCTCAAAGCTGGCCCTCTTCCTGGCCTCCCACCTCCCTTCTGACATGCGTTGGGCACCTCGAGGGTTACAGTGATGCTCCCACCACAACATGCCCTCCTGACCTCACAGGAGCCACCAGGTCCAGCTGGAAGACTGTGCATTGGAACAGCTGCAGGGGCCACTGCTAGATCTACCTAATGGCACCCCAGTTTTCCTTTGGAGACCCACAATGGGTTACATGGGGCTGACTGTAGCCTCTGGCTTCAGGACAGGCCCACGAGGCAGGCCCCACCAATCAGTGACCCAGTTCAAGCCAGTGAGAGGTGGACACAGGGAGTTCCTAGGAACAAGTGCCTTGCAAGGGGTGCTAAGTCCGAGAGTGTCAGCCACACTGCAGGGCACCTTCCCACCAGGTGGGGATAATCTTTCTGAGAACACAGGCAATGCTGGGAATAGCAGTGCAGCATTTTTAACACCTGGATCATTCATACCTAAGCCCGCATAGCCCCGAGCATTTTCAGCACAGGAGCCAAGAAAATTCCCCCCCCCCTTTTTTTTTTTTTTTTTTTTTTTGAGATGGAGTCTCGGTTTGTTGCCCAGACTGGAGCGCAGTGGCACAATCTCGGCCCCTGCAACCTCTGCCTCCCGGGTTCAAGTGATTCTTCTGCCTCAGCCTCCTGAGTAGCTGGGACTACAGGCGCCCGCCACCATGCCCGGTTAATGTTTGTATTTTTAGTAGAGACGGGATCTCACCACATTGGCCAGGCTATTATCCAACTCCTGACGTCGTGATCCACCTGCCTTGGCCTCCCAAAGTGCTGGGATTACAGGTGTGAGCCACCACACCCGGCTGGAAATTCCCTTTTTTGTTTTTTTTTGTTTTTTAATTTTTTTTTTTTTTTTTTTGAGACGAAGTCTCGCTCTGTCCCCCAGGCTGGAGCATAGTGGCCGGATCTCAGCTCACTGCAAGCTCCGCCTCCCGGGTTTACGCCATTCTCCTGCCTCAGCCTCCCGAGTAGCTGGGACTACAGGCGCCCGCCACCACACCCGGCTAGTTTTTTGCATTTTTTTTTTTAGTAGAGACGGGGTTTCACCGTGTTAGCCAGGATGGTCCCGTCTCGGCCTCCCAAAGTGCTGGGATTACAGGCTTGAGCCACCGCGCCGGGCCTCCCTTTTTTGTTTAAGCCAGTTTGGGTTGGGAACTTTTTCCACTTAACAATTGAAAGTCCTCTGGCTGGTCCATTGTGGCACCCGCAGCCACACTCCCCACTCCATCCCCAGCCTTCCCTTTCCCTCTCACATGAAAATGGAGACCACCCCTTTGGGGGCAGCCACTTTGCAGGTGGGCTGGCTCATGGCCCAGGCCCCATGCAAAGTCTCTCTCCTCCTCCTCTTCTTCCAAAAGGAGAAGAGGTCTTTCAGGCCAGGCACTCGGCAGGGGTCACTTAGGTCCCAGTCCAGCCCAGAGGCCACCTGTGGATGGCTCCAGAGGCACCCACCCTGCTGCCTGTGACCCCAGCTGCTGGGACATGCCCGGCCCGAACCCAGGAGGGCCATGCATCAGGGACAGTTTTGAGGGCTTCTTTACAGTGTCTTGGAGGGGCTGTGGCACAATGGAGACTACTTCTGGGGTGACACACACATCGATTACTTGCACCAGAATCTCTGTCTTGGGGTCTGCTTTGCAGGGACCCCCATGACAACAATGCTTCATCCTCTACCAGGTCAACTTCCATTTACTTTCTGAAAAACCAGGTTCACACCTGGCTCTTAGAGATACAGAGTCACAGGCAGAGCCCACTGTACTGATGGGGAGAGGACAGCCGGCCACTGGGAGAACCCCGACAGTCATGGCGGCAGCACGCCAAGCCCGTGAGGGAGGCCAGCCTCTGCGGCCCCTGTGTGCCCGAGGCTCTGCGTCCACCATAATGGCGCACACTTGTCTCAGGTGTGAATTGGGTTAAAATGGGGAAACAGTAATACGGGCCAGGACAACTGGGGTGGGGTAGGTTTTTTGGTTTGCTTGTTTTTATTTTTGTGGAGACGAGGTCTCACTATGTTGCCCAAGCTGGTCTCGTACTCTTGGGCTCAAGCGACCCTCCTCCCTCTGCCTCCCTAGGTGCTGAGATCACAGGCGTGAGCCACGATGCCCAGCCCGGAGCGTTGGGTGTGGTTCTGAATGGGACATATTGAGGGTCAGAATAAGTGGTGAAGAGAGGCTGGGAGTCCTAAGTGGTCAGCTGCACAGCTGACCCTGGCTGGGCGATGAGGTAGCTGGTGGCGGGAGGAATTGCTGCAAATCAAAGCTCGAATGGAAGTGAGAGGAAGCACACAGCTCACCCACCAGCCCCGGCCTTAGGCACACTTACCTCCTCGTTGCGGACTCCAAACAAGGTGTGGTAGTTGCCTGGGTATCCCACAAACCTAGGAGAAAGTCAAGGTCATGAGCCTTGATGGAATCTTTCCTGTCTCCTCCCACTTCCCTTGGCTCTTGAGGCCTGAGCAGAGTTGCTGCACCTGCCCTGGAGGGAGCACGAACTGTGGCGTAGAGTCCAGGCTGCAAGGTGGGCCTCCTGTGGACCCCCGAGCTGGGTGGGGACCAAGAGGTGGGCAGCCCCTGTTTGCTCAGAGGTGCACGGTGGCATGGGTCCCTGTCCCCTGCCTGGGTCTCCTGTTCCATCCTCCACCCTGCCTGAGCACGGCTGAATGATGCCTGGTGCCCAGGCAGCGGGAAACATGAGCAGAACCGAGCTGGGGTGAGCTGGGGCCAGAGGGAGAGGCACCCACCAACCTGCCCTTGAAGAAGGCAATGTAGATGGGCGAAGAGTAGAAGTTGACAAACTGGAAGATGAACACCTTGAGGGTGAAGGCGTCCTCGAACTTGGTCTGGGTGCGGTGCATTTCTGTGGCATGGAGAGCCTGGGCTCAGTCCCTGGGGGAGTCACCACCATCCAACTAGGGGCCCCCTCTCCTAGGACCACCTTGCCACACACGGGTGAGGAAAAGGCCATATCATCCAGATATTTTAAAGAAGGGGACAAAGTGTGACATTTCCAAAGTCACCCAAAAACATGTTGATAAAAGGAGTTGGGAAAATTGATAATACGCTATATCCCAACACTAATAATGAATGTGGTGCACACAGGCGGGTGGTCAGGGGACGGGTCAGAGAAACAGAATAGAGGCTCGAGGCCAAGGCTGTGAAGGGGACTGGGCTCTGGTGCAGGTGCCAGAGTCAGGAGCATAAAAGGCTAAAGGTTACCAGAGGGAAAGAGGGAGGCACAACACCCCACAGTTGCAGAAGCAGCTGGGCGGGTCCCCTCAGGGCCCTGCCCTTGGCCATCCAGCACCAGGAACCTCTCCCCGAGACACCTGCCACCTGCTTAGGTCTTTCCCTGACACCCACCTTCCCCTGGCCACCCACCAGGAGGCACTTCCTCCTCAGCACTTACACCCTCTCCCATTATCTGTAGCTGTGCAGGCAGCCAGTTCTGTCCCCTCTCCTAGAACTTGGGCTCCAGGGCAGGGCTGCCAGCTTTTGTTCAAGGCTATTCACCCCCAGGGCTAGAGCAGGGCTGGTGAGAGGCAGCAGCTTATGGAACGAATAGGTTGGTCCCTAAGTGTTTGTCCTCAGGAAATGAGACAGAGAAAGAGAAGGCTGAAGGGAGGGGAAGGGAGAGGGAAGAACTGAGAGGCAGTTGCCCAGTCCAGCGGCCAATCCCCCACGCCACCCCACAGAGGCTCAGCGGCCCTATTCTGGAGGGACATCTCCCACCTGGGGACCTCGCAGCCTGGAGGGGACCCTGTGGAGGGGCGAGAACTCCTTGGGTGCTTGAGTGCCCCCAGGGTCCTTGATCTCCAGGAAGGCCCTGCTCACTGCTCTTTTAAGGGAGCCTCGGGGGAGTCTCAGACACCTCCAATCGGTACCACATTTAGAAATGGGGGGCACTGGCATCCTAACCCAGGGATCGTTTGTGTCCCACCTGGGGTGCAAAAAACAAAAATTAAGAAAGAGAAAGAAAAGCAGGTGCCGTGGCTCATGCCTGTAATCCCAGCACTCTGAGAGGCTTAGGCAGAAGGATCACTTGAGGCCAGGGGCTGGAGACCAGCCTGAACCACATAGTGAGACCCCTGTCTCTATCAAAAAAAAAAAAATTCAGCTGGGCACAGTGGTCCCAGGTACTCAGGAGGCTGAGGCAGGAGGATCCCTTGAGCCTGGGAGGTCAAAGCTGCAGTGAGCCATGATCATGCCAGTGCACTCCAGCTTTGGCAACAGAGTGAGATCCTGTCTCAAAAGAAAAAAGAAAGAAGAAAGAAATAGAAGTGAGGGTCCTGTGCGTCAGTGAGTGAGAAAGTCCGTGTTCTGGCTTGGGGCTGGCAGGGTGGGCCCCTGGTCAGTGCCTGGCTGGCCTCAGCCCACTCACCCCATCGTGTCAGGACGTGGGCCAGGGACACATAGATCTTGGAGAGGATGAGGATGAAGATGAGGTTCACTACAGACCCTGTGAGGCTGGCGATGCGAGAGGCCTGACAGGAGACAGGCAGTCAGAGCTGGATGAGGGGCTGCTCAGGGCCCCCCGAGGCAGGCGGCAGAGGCTCACCCAGGCTGCGAGGAGGGTGTTGCCCGACCTGGACACCACGATGGCCATGATGGCGCGGTACAGGATGATAGACACAAGGCACATGACCACTACGGCCACCTGCAGGGGCAGGGAGGCTCGTGAGCCCCTTCACAGTGGCTTGGGCACCCTAGCACCCTCAGGCCATGGACCCTGACAGCTCTCCTAGTCCACTGCTGGCCCCAGCACTGCCTCCTCTGGGAAGCCCCCTGCCTCCAGCCCCGGCTGTGCTCCCAGGCGATGTCCTTCCTGATGGGTTGTTCAGGCAGAGGTGGGGTGGGGTTAGGGTTAGAGGTTGGGCCACATCTGGGTGTCAGGGCAGCCACTGTGAGTGTTAGAGCCATCCCATCCCAGAAACTGGGGATTCCTGACATCTTGGCGGGGTGGGAGAGGTCCTATTAGGAAGCCCCTTTGGCTGGAAGGCAAGACAGGGTGCAGCAAATGGCCCTGCTGGGGTGTCTGCTTCTCTTTTCCTTGAAACCGACCCCCTTGCTTGAAAAATGCCCCATGCCCACACCCACGGGGAGACCCTCCCAGGCCCTCTGTATGACTCTCAGCCGGGACCCCACAGCTGAGCCCTGGGCTCAGCCCCTCCCTGGAGCCTGGGCACATGGGGGCCTCTCTGCGGGGAGTGAGGGTCCTGCGCCCACAGGAGGCATCTGGCCTCGGCACCAAAACCACCCCACGTGGTGCAGGAGGATGGAGGCATGAGTGGAGGGCAGGGGACCGCGTACCATCACAACGATCACTACCGAGCCAGCCAGCATGCGGCGCGCGCGGCTCCTCTCAGGGAAGTAGGGCTCGTCCTCCCCCGTGATGGGGTTCGGGGCTGTCATGGGGGCTGAGGCGGCAAACTGGGGCCGAGGCCTCTCCTGGAAGGGAGCCGGTGCTCAGTGGCGGCCCTCGCCGGGTGTGACCGTGGTCCAGCGGGGGTGGCTCACCTCGATGTCCTCGTAGTCAGAGCAGTCCCAGCGGTAGGCCAGCGTGGCACTCTTCCGCTTCCAGTACTCCAGGAGCAGCACGGCCCACAGTGCCATGAACAAGCTGAAGAAGACGGTGCCGCCGTGGTCGAACAGCCGGCCGGCCTGTGGCAGGGATGTGGAGTGTCCAGACCTGCTTGGGACTGGAGGCCCCTTGTTCCTTCCAGCGTTCCTTCCTTCTGGAATGGGAATGTGCATCCCACATACTCCCCCGACTGTGTGTTTTGTTTGTTTGTTTGTTTGTTTGAGACGGAGTCTCGCTCTGTCGCCCAGGCTGGAGTGCAGTGGCGCAATCTCGGCTCACTGCAAGCTCTGCCTCCCGGGTTTACGCCATTCTCCTGCCTTAGCCTCCCAAGAAGCTGGGACTACAGGCGCCGCCACCACGCCCGGCTAATATTTTGTATTTTTAGTAGACGGGGTTTCACTGTGTTAGCCAGGATGGTCTCCATCTCCTGACCTCGTGATCCGCCCGCTTCGGCCTCCCAGAGTGCTGGGATTACAGGCGTGAGCCACCGCGCCCGGCCCTCCGACTGTGTGTTGGAAGCACAGACCCACAGGTGGAGAGGAATTTTGCCTCAGGACAGTCCACACCCAGGTCTCACCCACACCTGACTTTGAGGATGTGATTTGGGACTTTCTGAGCTGAAATTTTCATGAGATTTTGGACTAGAGTTAATGCTGTAAGAGGTTGAGACTTTGGAGGATGCTGATGAGGGGAATGTATTTTCCACAGGGGATGGACATGAAGTTTTGGGAACCAGAGGATGAACTGTAGTGAGTTGAATTTTGGCCCCCAAAAGATATGTTGGTTGGGAACCTCAGGATGTAATCTTATTTGAATAAGGGCCTTTGTAGATGTAAGGTAAGGATCTCCAGATGAGAGCACGCTGGACAAACCCTTACAAAAGGGGAGAAGAGGAACCAGCACGCAGACACAGGGGAAGGCCAGGTGGAGACGGAAGCAGAGATTGGAATGAGGGGGCCACAAGCCAGGGAGGACCAAGGCCCGCCAGCAGCACCAGAAACCAGGAGAGAGGCCTGAGGTCGAATCCCCAGAAGTGGCCAAGCCTGCCAACACCTTGATTCTGGACTCCAGCCTCGGGTCTGTGAGAATAAGCCTCTGCTGTTTTAAGTCCCCATTTGTGGTCCTAGGAAACATCCAGGTGGATTCCCAGGGGTGAAATCAAAGGGCATCTGGCCCATCAGTAGTGCCAAGGGCTCTGGGTCCAGTGCATGTGGGCTACTAGCGAGGCCCTGAGGTCCCTGGGAAGGTGGACAGACCTAGGAAGCATGCCAGGCAGGTGGGGGGACAGTGGGGCTCAGGGACTGCAGGAGCTTCCTGCCCAGGTCTCGTAAGCTGGGAATTCTGCTCAGAAGTCCAACCTTTTGGTTCTGCCTGTGCCCTGGCGGCTCCAGGGTTTGTCTGCCTTGGAGCCAAGGGCCAGGTGCCCCCAGAGTGCCAGAGCTGGAGTCCTGGCCTGGGGTGTCCTCAAGTGAGAAGCACTAACATGGGCCAGTACTGAGTGCGGGCACTCTGCCAAGTGCCGGGAGGTGTGTGCCGGGCGTAACCCAGTTCCGGGCGAGAGAACAAAGGTTAAGGAGCTCACGGATCATTCCGCCTTTACGTGGTGACAGCAGGACCTGGTGCAGGCAGAGTCAGGACCAGGACCAGGGGAGCTGCCCTCCTCATCCCCCGACTCCCAAATCCCTTACCCCACCCACCTCTTCTCATACCTGGGCCAGGGCACAGGCGCTGGAGAGCAGCCAGAAAGGGCAATCGAGGCAAAGTGGGCACATCTCAAAGCTGTCCTTGCTGCCACACAGTTCCTGCCTTCAAGGCATGGAGTGGAGGGGTGGGAGTTAATGGGGGAGGGGGGCTGGTTGCTCCTCCCAGCCAGGTGCCTCCCTTGTCCTTTCTCTCCCCACCACTGCCTTTGCCAGACCCAGCATTTCTTTTCTTTTTTTTTTTTTGAGACAGAGTCTCGCTCTGTAGCCCAGGCTGGAGGGCAGTGGCGTGATCTCGACCTCGGCTCACTGCACGCTCTGCCTCCTGGGTTCACACCATTCTCCTGCCTCAGCCTCCTGAGTAGCTGGGACTACAGGTGCCCGCCACCGTGCCCAGCTAATTTTTTGTATTTTTAGTAGAGACAGGGTTTCACTGTGGTCTCGATCTCCTGACCTCGTGATTCGCCCGCCTCGGCCTCCCAAAGTGCTGGGATTACAAGCGCGAGCCACCGCACCCAGCCAGGCCCAGCATTTCTTAAGAAAATAGTTGTTTTAAAATATATGCCATGACAATGTCTGAGTTAAGTGTCTGAATTTCAGTTCCATGATAAACTAAAACAAAAGCCCATTTATTAATAAGAAAGCTTACATTATTATAATAAATAAGAGTGCCAATAAAATTAGCGTGAGAGCACTCCTGCCCATCTGTCAGCCTGGGAGCACTCCTGTCCACCTGTGTCAGCCTGGGAGCACTCCTGACCACCTGTCAGCCTGGGAGCACTCCTGACCACCTGTGTCAGCCTGGGAGCACTCCTGACCACCTGTGTCAGCCTTGGAGCACTCCTGTCCACCTGTGTCAGCCTGGGAGCACTCCTGACCACCTGTCAGCCTGGGAGCACTCCTGTCCACCTGTGTCAGCCTGGGAGCACTCCTGACCACCTCTGTCAGCCTGGGAGCACTCCTGGCCACCTGTGTCAGCCTGGGAGCACTCCTGACCACCTGTGTCAGCCTGGGAGCACTCCTGGCCACCTGTTGCCCTGGGAGCACTCCTGACCACCTGTGTCAGCCTGGGAGCACTCCTGGCCACCTGTTGCCCTGGGAGCACTCCTGACCACCTGTTGCCCTGGGAGCACTCCTGTCCACCTGTCAGCCAGGGAGCGCTCCTGTCCATCTGTCACCCTGGGAGCACTCCGGTCCACCTGCCAGCCTTTCAGCCATGTCCACAAGGCCCTCTGTGACACTCCTGAGGACAGGCATGTGCTCACCTCTCACCTCAATCATTTCAAGCACCAGCTGTCTGCACAGGGCCTCGCACCCGGGGTCCCCCCATCCCACACCCCTCTGGAGGCCCAGCACCAGGCCCCAGAGCTGTGGAGAGGGAACACTCACGTGGGTATATCTGAGAACACCAGGAAGCAGCCCACCAGGAACACCAGTGTGCCCACCACCGCTGCTGGCAGGAGCCAGCCCGTGTAAAACCCTGTAGAGAGGATGGCAGGGGTCCACCATTAGGAACCTGGCTTGGGGGCCCCAGGTAGGGGTCTACACAGCCATGCTTGTCCCCTAGGGACCACCCTCAGCCCAGCTTGGGGGCTGGGGCCCTATGTGAGGAAGCCAAGAGGTGCACAGCTCTCCCTGGCAGCTCTGGCATGGCCCCACCCTTCTGGGCCTCTGCCCCAGACTCTGGACACCCCTACCACATTGACCCCGACACCAGTGCTGCTGGGATTCCAGCCCACCAGGCGCTCCACCTCTGGATGCCCTCTCCTCAGCCAGCTCACTCCAACCAACCTGCCCAGGATGGACAGAGAAGTCCCTCCACGTCCTGCTCACCACAGAAGTGTGGGTCCACCCGTGTTCCAGCCCCAGGGAAACCACGGGTCATTCTGGGTGCCTCCTCCCCACCACCCAACCCCCACCCTGGCCCCTGCCTCATCTGACCACAGCCACAGTCCCTCCGTTACCCCAGGCCCTCAGCATGTACCCTGACTGCCTCCCATAGGGCTAGTCCAGTCCCAGGCCTGGTGTCCTGTCCCCTGCCTGACTCAGTCCCGGGCCTGGTGTCCTGTCCCCTGCCTGACTCAGTCCCGGGCCTGGTGTCCTGTCCCCTGCCTGACTCAGTCCCGGCCCTGGTGTCCTGTCCCCTGCCTGACTCAGTCCCGGCCCTGGTGTCCTGTCCCCTGCCTGCCTCAGTCCCGGGCCTGGTGTCCTGTCTCCTGCCTCAGTCGCGGGCCTGGTGTCCTGTCCCCTGCCTGACTCAGTCCCGGGCCTGGTGTCCTGTCTCCTGCCTCAGTCCCGGCCCTGGTGTCCTGTCTCCTGCCTCAGTCCCGGGCCTGGTGTCCTGTCCCCTGCCTGACTCAGTCCCGGCCCTGGTGTCCTGTCCCCTGCCTGACTCAGTCCCGGCCCTGGTGTCCTGTCTCCTGCCTCAGTCCCGGGCCTGGTGTCCTGTCCCCTGCCTGCCTCAGTCCCGGGCCTGGTGTCCTGTCTCCTGCCTCAGTCCCGGGCCTGGTGTCCTGTCCCCTGCCTGACTCAGTCCCAGGCCTGGTGTCCTGTCTCCTGCCTCAGTCCCGGGCCTGGTGTCCTGTCCTCTGCCTGACTCAGTCCCGGGCCTGGTGTCCTGTCCCCTGCCTGACTCAGTCCCGGGCCTGGTGTCCTGTCCCCTGCCTCAGTCCCGGCCCTGGTGTCCTGTCTCCTGCCTCAGTCCCGGGCCTGGTGTCCTGTCTCCTGCCTCAGTCGCGGGCCTGGTGTCTTGTCCTCTGCCTGACTCAGTCCCGGGCCTGGTGTCCTGTCTCCTGCCTCAGTCCCGGGCCTGGTGTCCTGTCTCCTGCCTCAGTCCCAGGCCTGGTGTCCTGTCCTCTGCCTGACTCAGTCCCGGGCCTGGTGTCCTGTCCCCTGCCTGACTCAGTCCCAGGCCTGGTGTCCTGTCTCCTGCCTGACTCAGTCCCGGGCCTGGTGTCCTGTCCCCTGCCTGACTCTCTGCTGGCCAGAGTGACTGCTGTGAAATGCAAGTCTGCCTGGCGCCCAGATGCAGCCCTGGCCCTGCTTGCCCCCAGTGGCCCTCAGCCTGGCCATGCTGTCCCAGGGTTGCTGCTCTAGGCCCTGAGATGGCCGGGTGAGTCCTGGCACACAGGAGCTGTGCCTCCACCCCAATGCTGTACCCCAACTGCCCTGCCATGCCTGCCGGCCCCACCCGCTGCCCTGGCTGGCTCCATTGTCTGGGTCCACTGTGGGGCTGCGTGTGGGGATGAGAAAGGGCTTTGGAAGTTCTGGGGCACAGAATGAAGGGGCAGGGGCCGACCCAGGATGGGGAAGGGAGGGTGCCAAGAGCTGAGTGGGGTGAGGGCAGCCAGGACCCAGGAGGAAGAGCTCTGGGGTTGCCTGGGCAGATGGGCATCTGGAAGGTGCTGGCCTGCTTGGAGGAGATGAGAGGCTTGGCCTGGACCCTGGCAGGGGCGACCTCCCTAGGATGGAAGTTTCTGGGGAGGCCCCAGGTCCTCATGGGCCAGTGACAGTCAGGGAGGGAGTCAGGAGAGACCCCCACCAGCAGAAGGGGCTCTCAGCACTGTTACTGGGGCATTAGGAGGCCAGGGCCCAGCATCATCATGGCACCCAGTTAGAGTGACTAGGCTTGGGGAGAGCCAGGAGGGCAGCCCGGCAGGATCAGCCAGGCGAGGCCAAGAGCCATGCCCACCGTCCAAGCCCCCATGCACGCCGCTCTCCAGGGGCATGGACTGGCAAATCGTTACAACCTGAGACCAAGCTGGGGGAGCCCGGGTGGTCTGGGGGTGGCCGGGGGGACTCACCGAGCCAGGCGAAGTAGAGGGCCACCTTCTCTCCGAAGTACCTGCGCACGTGGTCCAGGGGCTGGTACTTGTTCCACTTGCCCCAGCGCGCCCAGTGCTGGTAAAGGACTTGGCGCTGGTTGAGGTGCGGAGCCTGTGGGCCCTCTGGGGGCGTCTTGAAGGGGCCCTGGGGGCGAGAGGACTGTTTGTAGGAGACTCCCCCTGCTTATCCCACCGGGCACTGTTGTAGGTGCGGGGACTTCAGTGTGGGACATGGGCAGATCAGGCCCGGGAGTTTGGGATTGCTCTATGAAAAAAAATAGAGTAACGTGGAGGGGTGGGTACAGGGTGGTCCAGGAGGACCTCTCCGAGGAGGGGACATGTGTGGTGAGGCCTCTCTGACTCGGGCTGTGAGGGTTCAGGGCAGGGAAAGGGCTGGAGAGGCCACCCTGGGAGAAGCCAGTGGCCTTGGTCCAGGGCCCAGCACCTTCTCTGGGTTGGAGATTCCCCAGGCTGGTGTCCTGTGCTGTGCGTCCTGGGCCCTGGCTGGCGGAAGGAGCCGCCCCAATGAGGTGGGACACCTGGCATTTCCACACCCACTTTTTCATTTAACCTTCATGACGGCATTGGGGCAGGACTGGCCCCCTGGCCACGCAGCAGTGGGCTCAGGCCTGACCAGGCCCCGGATGCCCTGGCTGCGTGCGAGGCCCCTCCCCTGCTTGACCAAGGGGGAAGGCTCGGGCGGGTCGGGGGGTAAACGGCCTCCTGCTCCCCACGGTGGCTGTTTTCTGAGGGATGATGGTAAGGCTGACAGAACAGGTGCAGCGTGCAGCAGCAGCCGCCCCGGTCAGTGCCCGCTGTGGCATTGCCTCAGTTTACCCAGCTTCTGGAGGGGGATAAGAGACCTCACTGTGTTTCCCAGCAGGAGAAGCTACCCAGAGAGACGGAGCCGTAGCATCTAGAGCCCAGGGACTGGCCTTTTCCCGTGTTAGGCACCACAGTGTGGGCTGCAGTCCACGCAGAGCTGGACCTGAGGCCCTGGACAGGCCACGGCATGGCCTGGTCACATCGCCACGTGTGTGCATTTAGCGTTCTGACTCCTGGGTGGTCACGCCGGCTGACTGTGCCTGCCCCACACCCGCCTCCCAGGGGGCCAGCAGGACCCAAGGGGACTCATCCCCCACGCCCAGGCTGGAGCCCCCAGTCCCCGAACTCACGTCGTGCAGGGGGAAGGCAGCGCTGAGGACACCCTCTGCCAGCAGCTGGTGGATCCCAAGCAGGTTTTTCTTCTCGTGGCCGTATGGGGTCTTGGCCAGGATCTCAAACAGCTGCAGGGGGTGTGGAGGATGGTGCAGGTCACTGATCACGTAATAGCAGAACAGGGATGTCTTAGCTAGCCTGGCTTCAGGCCAAGGCCACGGATGGCCTCCCTTAGCCTTCTGGTGACAATAGCGATCTGATGGATCGCTATCTGTGTCACCACCTCACATGCAGGACGCCCCTGCGCCAGGGTGGCTTCATTCTCCCGCTCTGCAGGCTCGGAGACCTTGACCAGCGCCACACGGTGTGTGGGGGTTGCATCTGCACCCAAAGCTGGGCCCCCGCCTGGCCAGGCACAGCCCACTCTGAACCCGCACCCTGGGTGACGGCAAACACGGCAGCCTGGGAGTCAGCTGTGTCCCGGGTGTGCCTTGCCCTTACCTGGGCAGCCCACGTGACTGACTGTGTGCCCCGTGGTGGTCTGCAGGGCCTCTCCTGGGTAGGCCTGGACTGGCTCTTCCCTGCCTGCAGGCCTCAGGAGCAGGCCTCCTGCCAGCGTGCCTTGGGCCTGCCCCACCTGGTGCCGCCCATCCTTGGACGACGCTGCAGGGCGGGTCTGCTCCCAGCCAGCAGGACCCACCCCGTCTGGGGCTAGTCTCGGCTGTCCCATGTGTCCATAAAGCCAGTATCTATTTTGAGCCCTGGGGTCCCAGAGGAGAACTGGGCCCTTCCCCACCCCTCCCCTAGCCCAGACCATGGCCTGCCCTGTGTTTCGAGCTGAGGTCAGCCTCTAAAGTTTCCAAAGCCTCCAGGACCCAGGCCTCAGTCCTCTGATCTCAAGCGGGCCTTTCTGCATCCACAGAGGCTGGGGGCTGGCAGGATCCTCAGAGCCAGGTCAGGGTTTGGGGCCCGCAGCAGGGACCCCCACTCACAATTTGGTGCCTCTTGGTGCTTGTGAAGAAGGTGTCCTGGTTGTCACTCCCGAGGAAGCTGTGGGCATGTGAACGGTGCAGAAGGTTTGGGGCCCAGGTGCTGGTGCACATGCAGGAGCACAGGCCTGCGGACACAGCCCTCGCCCCAGGAGAAGCAGCTGACTCCCTGGCAGGTCAGTGGCTCCCGATTTTGCCTTTCACATCCCCAGGAACAGGAGGCCACAGGAGGCCCCCAGATACCCAGAACCCCTCACCACACTTAGGGTGGGGGAAAGCAAACTGTGGTTGGGCACAGGGCAGGGCAGTGCAGAGAGGGCCAGGCTGGCCAGGGAGCCCCATCCCGTGTGCCGCCCTGAAGCTCCGGCATGGGGCTGAGGGTGCTCGTGGGCAGTGTGGACAGTGACTGGGCAGGGGTCCTCCCTGGGAAACCAGAATCTTGGGAAGCCATGGGTGGGGCAACACGGAGTGGGACTGAATTTCCCACCAGCCCCAAAAGGAGGCATCCCGTGTGGCAGAAAGGCTGCCTACGGCAGTGGTCCCCGACAGCGGTCCCTGCCACTTCTGGACTACCCCAGTCTACAGGCCTGGTGCCATAGTGCGACTGGCTTTGTCTGGTAGTAACGTGTGTGGACGACACACGAGTCGTTTCCAGGAGGGAGCCAGTGTGGGCAGAACAGGTCCCTGCTTTCTACCTTGGCAGCTGGGGAGACTGTGATGAGACAGAGCCTCCATCGCCCGGGCCCTGAGAGACCGTGGTGAGCAGGTGCCGCACTGACCCACCACACGTGTGCCTGAGCAGGAACTGGACCTTGCGTGTCCAGCCACTGGGCCTTGGGTGGGTATCTGTCCTGCAGCACAACCACCCTAGCCTGGCCGATGCAGCCGGTCTGGAAACGCAGACACGTGACAAGCGTGCCCACCTGGCCTGATTCCCTGCCGAAAACTCGAGGTGAGGAGAGTCCTGGGGAAGGACCAAGTTCCGCTCACTCATTCACCGACTCCCATTCACTCCTGTTCTTTCCTCTGACTGGCAGGGCCCCCGCCTTACCGTGGCAGCTTGTTCACTCTGAACTGGCAGGAGTAGTACTCGGGGGGCACGTCTGGCACAACTTCCAGCAGGACATTGGGGATGCCCAGCCATGCCAGCAGCTCGGCCGACCAGTTGGAGGCCTGGTTGGGTAACTCCTGGAAGGAAATGTCCGTGGCTCCTCCCACTGCGGAGAGGCAAACGCCCCACGTGGGAGTGGAGGTTGTGCAAGTTTGCAAACTGGGCAGTGGGCAAAGGGGCTCCAGCAGAGGGAAGGAGTGCGGTAGACCCTGGGAGGGCCCAGGAGAACCCCTTCCCTTCTCAGGGCCTCAGGCTCCGAGGCCACTTAGCTTGTCAGTTTGTAGCCCAGAGCCCCTCAAGTGGAAAAGGGACGGGAACTGGTGAGTAGTGTGTCTGCCGCCCGCAGTGGTGAGGGTCAGGCCAGCCAGTACGGTGGGTGGTGGACCCACGTCCAGACCCAAGATGGTCCAGGTCCCTGAGGTCACCTGGAGCCAGCCTTCTCCACCCCACGTCCACAGGCTGGGCCCTCAGCAGGTGGCCTGGTGGGGGTCTGGGCCTGGAGCTCAGTGCACACACACTGTTCACCCGACCCCATCTCCCACGAACCCACCATGGGGGATGCCACCACCTGCCCTGTTTGCCCGGTGATGTTTTTTGGGGTCTGGTGTTGGGGTGGGTAAGAGGAGCCCTCCCAAGGCTGTCGGCATTGGCAGCTGGATGCAGTGTTTGGGGACCAGTCACCAGTAACCCTGGCTGGGGGGACCTCCAGGCCCACCCTGTCCCCATGCCTCCCTCGTACCTGCAAGGGCAGCTTCAGGCGCAGGTCTTCGGCGTAGTAGCAGAGCACAGCCCAGGAGGCGCTGAGGAGGGCGTAGTGCACTGTGGTGTTCCCGTCCTGGACGTTGTGCTGCAGGCACCCAGGGCTCCGTGAGAGCCTGAGGGTGCACGTGTGTGTCCATTCGAACTCTTAGGAAAACACTGGCATTTCCGTACCCGTGGTAACACCTGACTTTGAATCTCCTATTTGATACATGACACCTGCTCCCGTGGACACGCCTCTGAAAGCTAACCAGGCCTCGACAGCCCCGTTGGGGAGTCGGCCCCAGCAACAGATTTGCTGCAGACAGCACGCTGTTGGGGCTGGCATCACCTGCAGCCTCCCCTAAGGCTAGGGAGAGCCTCGCCCTGCTGGCCAGACCACGCTGACCCACACCCGCCTCCTGGCTTGAGGGGCAGCACCTCCAGCTTTTGGTTTTCAACAATAAACAGTCGCCTCACCTTTGATCAGTCACCAGGTGTCCATGCACGTTGTGCACGGACACGTTTCCGTGTGTGTGTGTACATATGGGTGGGCACTATCTATGTTCACATGTTCACATGTGTGCCAACATGTGACAGGCGCTCCTGGAGCCCGGGGTGGGTTGAGACAGGGATCTTCAGTCCAGTGGACAAGTGCCTCCTCTGCGCGCGAAACTGCTTTTCAGCACCACCCCCTTTAGTCCAGTGGCCTTCAGCCCTCACAGCCATCTGGGGTTCCCCACGTGCCAAAGCCCCGGCCCCAACTTAGGCGAAATAGAACAGAGTCAAGGGCAGACCCGGGCCCCCGGCTGGCTGTGATGTGCGCTGAGAGCTGAGAATTGTCCTGCAGACCGAAGACCAGGCACACTTTGGGGAACGTGTTGGAGCCACCGGCGTCCCCTGCAGTAGTCCCCACTGCCCTCAACTAAAGGGCAAACCTGCCCAGGTCTGGATGATGACCTTGAAAACTCATGGGACCACATCACCCAATTAGCTCTGTGCATAATAAAAGCAGGTGTCTTTCACCTCCACCTCCCAGACACTGAAGCAGATCCAAACTCGGGAGTGGGGGCCGTTAGCTCTGTGTGCTCCATGTGCCAACACCTGAGAAGGCCCCGGAAGGAAGCCAGGGAGAGCGGGGCTGGCAGCATGGGGTTGGGGGGATGCGGCAAGTGGGGGCTGCTCCCTGCGTGTTCTGGACAAGGAGTAGGAAACGTGGGAATGAGAAGGCAGGCGAGGGAAGAAAGGCACGGAAGGCAGAGGGGAGTCGGACGCAGGACTAACTCAGTCCACAGCAGGTTAAAACCAACCAGGACACCATCATGACCACGAGAGCCAGCCAGGACTGGGGAAAGGTGTCTGTCACACACACCACCAGCAGTGGCTAAGTAGCCAGAACAGACAACAAGCTCCTAAGCCTTAATAAGAAAAAGGCAGATGAGGCCGGACGTGGTGGCTCATGCCTGTGATCCCAGCACTTTGGGAGGCTGAGACAGGCAGATTCCTTGAGGTTCATGACCAGCCTGGCCAACATGGGGTAACCCCATCTCTACTAAAAATACAAAAATTAGCCAGGTATGGTGGTACACACCTGTAATCCCAGCTACTCAGGAGGCTGAGACAGGAGAATCACTTGAACCCAGGAGAGAAAGGTTGCAGTGAGCCGATGAGTCGCCCCACTGCTCTCACGCCTGGGTGACAGAGTCAGACCCTGTCTCAAAAAAAAAAAAAAAAAAAAGGCAGGTGACTTGGGAGTTAAGGCAGGCAAGACTGCTTGAGCCAAGGAGTTCAGACCAGCTAGGACCACAAAGTGAGACCTCATCTCTACAAAAATACAAAAATTTGCCGGGCACAGTGTGTGGGCCTGTACTCCCAGCTACTCAGGGAGCTGAGCTGGGGAGATGGCTCGAGCCTTGAGCCTCAGGAGATTTGAGCTGCCATGAGCCGTGACTGCACCACTGCACTCCAGCCAGGGCAACAGAACAAGACCCTGTTCGTTAAGCCGGGCACGGTGGCTTCACGCCCATTAATCCCAGCACTTTGGGAGGCCAAGGCAGGTGGATCACAAAGTCAGGAGTTTGAGGCCAGCTGGCCACCATGGTGAAACCTTGTCTCTACTAAAAATACAAATATGAGCCAGGCATGGTGTCAGGTGCCTTGTAGTTCCAGGTACTTGGGAGGCAGAGGCAAGAGAATTGCTTGAAACCGGAGGTGGAGGTTGCAGTGAGCCGAGATCGCACCACTGCACTCCAGCCTGGGCAACAGAGCAAGGACTTTGTCTCAAAACAAAACACAACAACAACAAAAAAACTCTGTCTCAAGAAAAAAAAGAAAAAGGCCAAGTGACCCAATAGAAAAAAGAGCAAAAGACACAAAAAGGCAATCACAGTATTGGAAACATAAATGGCCCATAAGGCCGGGCACGGTGGCTCAAGCCTGTAATCCCAGCACTTTGGGAGGCGAGACGGCTGGATCACGAGGTCAGGAGATCGAGACCATCCTGGCATAACACGGTGAAACCCCGTCTCTACTAAAAAAATACAAAAAACTAGCCGGGCGAGGTGGTGGGTGCCTGTAGTCCCAGCTACTCGGAGGCTGAGGCAGGAGAATGGCGTAAACCCGGGAGGCGGAGCTTGCAGTGAGCCGATATCGGCCACTGCACTCCAGCCTGGGCTACAGAGCGGAGACTCTGTTCTCAAAAAATAAATAAATAAATAAATAAAATAAATAAATATGGACCATAAACGTGAAAATGCTCAACCTGCAGCACTATTCACAATCAAAAGGCGTGGAGTCAGCCTCAGTGCCCGTCAGTGGTGGGCTGGTACAGAAATGTGGTATGTTGCCATCCATGGGAATACTATGCAGCCATAAAAAAGAACAAGATCATGCCCTTTGCAGGAATGTGGATGGAGCTAGAGGCTATTATCCTTAGCAAACTAATACAAGAACAGAAAACCAAATACTGTACATTCTCACTTAGAAGTGGGAGCCGAACGATGAGAAGTCATGGACACAAAGGGACCAACAGACACTGGGGCTTCCTTGAGGGAGGAGGGAGAGGAGCAGAAAAAATAACTATTGTGTACTAAGCTTAGTACCTGGGTGACGAAATCATCTGTACAACAAACCCCCGTGACATGAGTTTACCAATATAACAACCCTGCACATGTGCCCCCGAACCTAAAGTAAAAGTTAAACAAAAATCTCAACTTCTTTTTTTTTTTTTTTTTTTGAGGCGGAGTCTCACTCTGTCGCCCAGGCTGGAGTGCAGTGGCGCGATCTCGGCTCACTGCAAGCTCCGCCTCCCGGGTTCCCGCCATTCTCCTGCCTCAGCCTCCCAAGTAGCTGGGACTACAGGCGCCACCACCACGCCCGGCTAATTTTTTTGTATTTTTAGTAGAGACGGGGTTTCATTGTGTTAGCCTGGATGGTCTCGATCTCCTGACCCTCGTGATCCGCCCGTCTCGGCCTCCCAAAGTGCTGGGATTACAGGCTTGAGCCACCGCGCCCGGCCCTCAACTTCTTTAAGAAGCAGGGAAAATGCAAATTAAAACCTGGTTGAGGCCAGGCGCGGTAGCTCACACCTGTAATCCCAGCACTTTGGGAAGCCGGGGCGGGCGGATCACCTGAGGTGAGGAGTTCGAGACCAGCCTGGCCAATATGGTGAAACCCCGTCTCTGCTAAAAATACAAAAATTAGCTCGGCATGGTGGCGCACGCCTGTAATCCCAGGTACTCAAGAAGCTGAGGTAAAAGAATCTCTTGAACCCGGGAGGTGGAGGCTGCAGTGAGCCGAGATCTCACCATTGCTCTCCAGCCTGGGAAACAGAGCGAGACTCTCTCTCAAAAACAAACAAACACACACACAAGCACACAAGCCATGGTGAGCCACAACCACATCCCAACTGATGGGTAAAACTTTAAAAGTCTGCAGTACCAAGTGTTGAGAAGATACAAAGCAAGGGGCCTCAGGCCACTGCTGATGGTGGAAGCGGGGCCACCACATGGGGAGTGGTGTGGCCATCCATCTGCACATGCCTCAGCCCAGCACCCCTGCTCCCAGGAGCAGTTCCTGCCCACGGGCACAGGGATACACGACACGTGTGTGCGCGCGCACACAAATGAATTTACAGTAGCTGATTTTCATAATCGCCCCAGACTGGGAACGACTCAAATGCCCATTCTCACAGCATCCATAAGCAAAGACTGGCATTCGCACGCACAGCTGCCTGCGGCAAGGCAGGGGCGGGGCCCGGAGCAGCAGTCATGACCCCGCCCGTGATTCAGCTCTGCCAATCTCAGACAAAGCCAGGCTGCATTGCTTGATGATGTCAGATTGGCACTAAAATGGTAAAGAAACCCCAAGTGTGTTGAACATAAAACTCAAGATTGAGTACTCTGTGGAGAGGGAGGGGACAGGTGAGAGCACAGCCTGCTCCTAGGGACAGAGGAAGCTGGTCAGAGGAGGGCGGAGAAGGAAGAAGCTGCGTGGACAGACCTGGCAATGAGCGGGGAACACAGCAGGGTGAGAGCTGGGCTCTGCACCCCAATCCCCAGCTGCCCCAAGCCCTGCCTGTGCACACCTGTGCCCACAGACCCAGCATCCTCATGCCTAGTTCCTGTTTCTCATGCTCCCTGGACCTGTTGCTTAAATGATTCTGAGTGGTACCTCCCATTATCACCGAAAACAAACACGTGAAAGGACTTTTTAAGCTGTTAATTCGATAAGCACACTGAGAGTCATAAACACAAATGATGTTTTGTGGATGGCCACACCACTCCCCATGTGGTGGCCCCGCTTCCACCATCAGCAGTGGCCTGAGGCCCCTTGCTTTGTATCTTCTCAACACTTGGTACTGCAGACTACACAAAAGCTTTAATGCTGGAAGTAGGACACATGAATGGCAAAGGTAGTGTGAGAGTTTTCAGGTGACCCTGAGGGCTCCGGCCTCTATGAGAGAGCTGAGTGTGGACAGCAGCTCCCCATGGTGGGTGGCAGGGGCGCGGGGGGGCTGATCTGCTCTGGGGCTCTGGACACCATGCCCTCAGGCCTCATGCAGCAAGGTAATGGGTCACCGAGTGGATGCAGGGCCTAGGGCCTTGCCCACGACCGCCTCCACGTACCTGGTCTACATGCAGCCCAGCCGCACGAAGATTATCCAGAAAAGTCTCCCTCCAGGTCCTGTGCGTGTCTGTTCTGTCCCGGGAGGCACTGTTCTGCTGCCAGTCCAGCTTCAGGTCCTCCTCCCAAACAAGGACAAAGTCTGCTAGGAACCAACAGGGACAGAGGCGGAAGCCTGGCTAAGTGGCAGTGGCCGTCCCGGGGAAGGGCTGCCAGCATCCTAGCCGGGACGCAATGGGGAGCCAGGCACTTGGACACTCAGGGCCAGTTCCTTCCGGGTCCCCGCTCTGATCCCAGCCAGGGCTAGGAGGACTCAGGGAGCACTTCCAGGTTCCAGGAAAGCCCTGCATTGGCCTGAGTGGGGAACGGAGGCCTGGAGAGGAGTTGGGTGTGGCCCTCTGAGATCCCTGCAGGGTGAGTCCCAAACTCCTAAAGGGGTTGTTAAGGACTTCAGGTGCAAGGCACTGTCAGACTTCCCTTCCTGCCACAGAGAATCAACGCTGGAGAACGTTTCTGAAGCCCCTGATTTTCTGGCATGAGACAGCGATGGATGCTGGGCTCGGGCCCTCCAGAGAAGAGGAGCGTGTGAGGTGAGCCTTCCCCTCACTTCTTCCTGGGGTCCTTTCCCAAACCACAGGCAGGGCAGTAGAGCCCAAGCAGAGGCGTTGGTGGGCGAAGCGAATGGGCGTCCGAATTAGGTGCTGCTAAGGGGGCTGGAGCTTGGGAAGAAGACGGAGCCACCGGGTCTGTGAGAAAGTCCCCCAGGCCCTTGGAGCACCAAGCTATTCACACACAGGCAGCTGCTGGAGGCCAATGGCTGACAAAGTTCCAGAGGATACACAGGGCTGGGGAATCTGAGCTCCAGCGGGAACACCCTGGTCATCCAGCAGAGACTCGCAGGCCATACCCAAGGAGTGAGGACGATGGAGTCCCCCCTTATCTGCAGGGGATACATTCCAAGACCCCAGTGGATGCCTGAAACTGTGCAGAGTACCAAACCTATATGTACTGTCTTTCCCTATCCCTACCTATATGTACCTACCTATGATAACCTTCCTACGGTGAAAGTTAATTTATGAATTAGGTAAAGTAACAGATGAAAATAACTAATAATAAAATAGAATTATAACAGAATACTGTAGTAAAAGTTATGTGAATGTGGGCATTCTGTCTCTCTCTTTTTTAATATCTTATTGTGGCTGGACTTGGTGGCTCACACCTGTAATCCCAGCACTTTGGGAGGCTGAGGCAGCTGGATCACCTGAGGTCAGCAATTCAAGACCAGCCTGGCCAACATGGTGAAACCGTGTCTCTACTAAAAATAGAAAAATCAGCCAGGCGTGGTGGCAGGTGCTTGTAATCCCAGCTATTCAGGGGGTGGCGGGGGGAGGGGTGAGGGGGGGCAGGTGAGGCAGGAGAATCACTTGAACCTGGGAGGTGGAGGTTGCAGTGAGCCGAGATCACACCACGGCACTCCAGCCTGGGTGACAAAGTGAGACTCCATCGCCAAAAAAAGAAAAAAAAAGAGGCCAGGCACGGTGGGTCACGCCTGTAATCTCAGCACTTTGGGAGGCTGAGGTGGGCGGATCACGAGGTTAGGAGATCGAGACCATCCTGGCTAACAGTGAAACCCCGTCTCTACTAAAAATACAAAAAATTAGCTGGACATGGCGGCGGGCGCCTGTAGTCCCAGCTACTCGGGAGGCTGAGGCTGGAGAATGGCGTGAACTCAGGAGGTGGAGCTTGCAGTGAGCTGAGAACACGCCACTGCACTCTAGCCTGGGCAAGAGAGCGAGACTCCATCTTAAAAAAAAAAAAAAGGGAAATAAGTAATTTCTATACACCTATGACACACAGGCAGTGAAATTTTCCAAGTAATGCTATTTGGAATACATCTACTAAAAGATAGGAAAGATCTCATAAAAGCAGCAAAAAAGAAATTAAAGGCCAGGTGCTGTGGCTCACGCCTGTAATCCTAGCACTTTGAGAGGCCAAGGCGGGCAGATCACCTGAAGTCAGGAGTTTGAGAAGTCAGCCTGATCAACTTGAAGAAACCACGTCTCTACTAAAAATACAAAATTAGCCGGGCGTGGTGGCAGGTGCTTGTAATCCCAGCTACTCAGGAAGCTGAGGCTAGAGATCACTTGAACCTGGGAGGCAGAGGTTGCAGTGAGCCAAGATTGCGCCACTGCACTCCAGCCTGGGCAACAAGAGCGAAACTGTCTCAAAAAAAAAAGAAGAAAAGAAAAAGGACAAAAAACAAAAAGCGCAAAGAAATTAAAGTAGACCCTATATAATGTGGAGGAAAATTAGCCATATTCATGGAGTGAAAAGACTCACTTTCTAAATACGGAGAAATAATACAATCAGCGGACACCTTAAGTCCGTTGAAACAAACGAACACACAAAACTGGAAAAACATTAACAATACCAGGCAAATGGATCTTAAGACACAAAAGCATGATTCATGCGGTTAGACATTTGTCTGGACAATTAATACTGATAAAAGGCATGATTTTCTCAGGGATAGACATATATCCTTACCTTTATATGAAAGTTTAAATATGATTGATCAAGCCAGGCGCGCGTGGCTCACGCGTGGATTCCCAGCACTTTGGGGAGGCCGAGGGCGGCGATCACAAGTCAAGAGAATCGAGACCATCCTGGCTAACACGGTGAGAACCGCCTCTCTACTAAAAATACAAAAATTAGCCCGGGGCGCTGATGGCGGGCGCCGGTAGTCGCCAGCTACTCGGGAGTCCTTGAAGCCTAGTGTGCTGTGTAGAG